CGCGCACACGCTAGGTTACGGCAAAGTCCGGCCCAGCCTCTGAGACGCGCACACGCTAGGTTACGGCAAAGTCCGGCCCAGCCTCTGAGACGCGCACACGCTGGGTTACGGCAAAGTCCGGCCCAGCCTCTGAGGCGTGCACACGCTGAGTTACGGCAAAGTCTGGCCCAGCCTCTGAGGTGCGCACACGCTGGGTTACGGCAAAGTCTGGCCCAGCCTCTGAGGTGCGCACACGCTGGGTTACGGCAAAGTCTGGCCCAGCCTCTGAGGTGCGCACACGCTGAGTTACGGCACAAAGTCCGGCTCAGCCTCTGAGGTGCGCACACGCTGGGTTACGGCAAAGTCTGGCCCAGCCTCTGAGGTGCGCACACGCTGGGTTACGGCAAAGTCCGGCCCAGCCTCTGTGGTGCACACACTCTGAGTTACGGCAAACACCGGTTTAACCTCTGTGGCCCTCACTAGCTCAGATTCGGCAAGTGTCAGCTGAGCCTCTGAGGCGTTATGGGCCGCCGGGTCCTGACGGGTATCTAGGCTGGCACTGTATTACATTGTAGTGATTTCCCAACTTCTAAACCTACATCCTACACTCGGATCCCTGGATCGCCCTATCGGCCGAGGCGAATACGATGTGCCCCGCCGTCCGGGATTAGTGAGAGTTCAGCAATAGAAGGCACAGCCCAGAAGTAATCTAAATAACAGAAATGTCATGACTAAAATTGCCATAAAGATCTTTAATTAAATTGGAGTCAGATATAATTCAGTCTTTACCTAAAACGGGTAAGTAACTTTACAGGAGCGCTCGGAAGGATCCACACGCATTCCAAGCCTTCGGCTGTCCAATTGGATTCCGCCATTGGGCCAGTGGGAGGTTCCCCTACAATATTGTAGCATTATATTGTCCCAGCATGCCCTGCATGCAATTGTAAACAGCTGTTGTTGGTTGCACTGTGTGGCCGGGGGGAAGCGTGCAGTGCCCTGGAGGCCCAGCAGGCCCAGGAGCGCAGTGAGCTGGCGGCCCAACTGGAGCTGGGCAAGTGGCTGCTGCTGTGCAGGTCTGCCCCACCCTGCGAGCAGGAGACCCCATGGCAGGACCAGCCTGGCCCACAACAACAGGGCCCTACTAAGCGGGGAAGGAAGAAGGACCGGTGCCAGGAGGGGTCCGCACCACCAGAAGTCTCCAGCAACCCCATGCCCTGGCTCCCCGGAGAAGGGAGCCTGGCTGTGGGAGTCGCTGGGTGTGGAGTGCCCCAGCCAGGTGGACCCCCCTGGTAGCCGAATTAGGTCCCCTTAAGGCACGGAACAGGCAGGTTCGGCTCTGGGGGAGATCTGACACGCCAACACCGGCCAGCAGCTAGCCACGCCAGCACTTGGGCAGCCCCGTCTTTGGAAGCGACGCTCCGTCGGCTGTCAGCGGACCCCTGGGACTCGCTTCGGAACTGAGGTGGGAACTGGGGATGGTGAGAGGAGGGGGCAGAGCAGCACCGGCGGGGTGCATGTCCCAGCATGCCCCGCGTGCAATTGTAAATAGCCGTTGTTGTTGCTGTTGTTGTTTTGTTGCTGTTGTTAATGGTTACATTTCCCTATTGTCGTGCATGTGTTTGCCCGTGTCTTGTGTGTACCCATGTATTTAGCTTGTGTAAATCTCCCAGCATGTGTGCATCATATAGTTCGGCGTCTGACAGCCTTATGTTTCCCATTTGTGTATTTGGTTCGGGGCTTGTTGGGTGCCTGTTATAGTCCTTTTAAAGACTGCAATAAAAGAGCACATCTTCCCAGGCAAGCAAGTCTCCTCGTTCTTTTCAGCTCCCATGATGCCTCAGTCCGCCCAGCGCCACAATATGAATTTCAATGGGTATTTGTACCAAACAAAACATCAAGTGATAATAGATAACATTAGGCCTGTTTGTAAAATTGTACAACATTTGTAGAATATCGTAATTCAGACTCTGGTAAAATAGGGATTCCAAATCTTTTGATGTTCATGGAGTGGTCTACTTCAGACAAAACATTTCACACATCCGAGGGGGTTGGGGGTTGCTGGTGGATCGTAAATTTAACTGTTTCCGTTTTTTGTCAGATACGAACAGAACATGCAAATGCGAGGGGTCCTAAAAATTTTAAATATGTTGTTCATTTTCAGAAATTACCCAGTTAACTAACCCCTCCGTGCTGCAGCCTGGTGGACCAGGGATTGGGATTGTGGAACATAATATAAAAGATATTTTTATAAAAACAGATACTATGAAGAATACTAGATTATTATGGGAATAAAACTTGCAGAATATAGGTTTGGAATTTTATGTAGGCCTACTTGATCTGAAGCGGCAAGGAGTTGGAAGTAGTCTAGTCAGATACTCTGTTAACCTTATTAAGAACATGGCATAATTCGACCAATGATATCAATAATGATATTGTGTCTACAGTTACAAAGCACGCATTCGGATTTGAATACCCGGTACAGCGGTAGGTACCTAATCCACCGTGTCTTTCGAATTACACCACACACGTGCCTGAACAACAAACATACTTTTGTTCTAATTCGGGTGGAAAACAGGGTGAATACAGCATTGAAAGAGATGTAAAACAATCAGCTTTCAACCAGCTACCTTTTTTTAGTTTCTAGATTTACATACAAATTATATAGCGTCTTCACAGTTCCCCCCCCTGCCTTCTGAAAAAAACGCATTAATGTTTGTGGGATTTAGCACCCCGCACAAACCTTACCCTTAGGGTGACAATACCCAAGGCAACCTTTTGCCCAATGTTGCCAGGCAATGGTGTTGACCAATGTTACTTGGACACTTTGCTATTGATATTCGTTTCACAATCACCCAGATCTAGATGAGTTGCCTTGTGTCTCACCCGGTTGGCAATTCAAAAATAGAAGTCTTTCAACGTGAACCTCAGATTTTGGCTGAATTAAGCGAGGAAGCTGTTTAGGCCTTTGTTGCACATTGTCCCAAAAAGCGCCCATGAAATCCAAAACACAGCTGTTCTTTGCTGTTGATAACCAATTTTTTTTTTGTTTTACTCATATTTATATTTTTTATTTTAACACACCTATGTTAGAAGCAATTAGTGCGGACATCTCTGAGAGGATGTGACAACTCCTTTTGGGGACGTCGTAAAACCACGTTCTTTGAGGGCTTTGCATTCCTAACAGATTTTTCGGGGCACTGGAGACCCGCAGAATACCAGCTGCATTCATTTGTGCAGATAAGAGCCTGAGAAAAAACTTTAAACCCTCTAAAGACGTAACAAGCTTATAATACACCCCTAGTACTAATTCAAACCGATTTCAGAATCACTGTTTTCACGTGTTTCAATGTATTGTGAGTGTGTGCCAAATAAGATCAACTTATAAATAATTATAAATTAAGTCAAACTAAAATTGCTGTAAAGGAAAACACATGACTGACAATTTTTGTACGTTTAAGTATTAGTAAATGATCGGTTTTAGCCTTTGCAGTGTCATTCCAGTTTAAAGCGGTTTATACTAGTGAAAACATTGCTAAACAGCAGTGTTCAAGCTCCGCCTAGTTTATCACAAACGTACGAAAGTAATGTTCAAAAAAGAAAAAAAAAAAGTTTGTATGCAAAAAGGAGAACATCAACAAGAGACGGACAGTGTTCCCAACACGTATTTCGAAATACAAAAGAATGGCTATATCATTGGATGTTTTAAAAAAACGTTGATGTACATTGTACAGAGAAATTAGCATGCTGTGTAAAATGTAAATAAAAACAGAATGCAATGATTTACAAATCATATAAACCCATATTTCATTGAAAATAGAACAAAAACAACGTATCAAATATTGAAACTGGGAATTTAATGTTTTAAGACAAATATATGCTGAATCTGAAGCCAGCAGCACATTTCTAAAAAGTTGGGACATGGCAACAAAACACTGGAAAAGCTGTGTAATGCTAAAATAAGTTAATTGGTACCAGGCCAATAATATGATTGGGTGTAAAAAGAGCCTCCGAGAGAAGCAGAGTCTCTGTGCAGTGAAGATGGGGAGAGATTCATCACTCTGAGGCCTTGTCCACACGTATTTTTTAAATCGTACCTTTTTCTATACATCTTGGTGTCATGCCCACACGGGCGGGACACAATAGCAGCAACCAATGTTTTAGTGCTTGCTCCGCTACTTAAGACGGAAGTAACAATGATAACATCGCGAAGTATTGTTGCCATGATCTGGAGCATTGCTGAGCATTTTTCTGTCTTGTGTTTTCCCCGCCTGCCCTATCCACGGTGTCCTGCCCTGTTGTCTCACCTGTCCTGCCTGCCTGTCCGATCCCGTCTGTCCTGTCCGCCTGCCCTGTTCCATGACCTCGACCCGGCTTCCTCGTTAGTCCCTACCCATCGTCGGTCAGTTCCATTGTGACATTTTGGTATTTTTTTATTTTGCGATTATTTTTTTTTCTGCAGTAAATCATTTCACCTACTGTGACCTCCTTGTGAGTGAAAGTTTTGAGGCTCAATAGAGACATCTGGTGTCAGAAAGTAAGAAGGCAGGCAAACACTTCCTGAAGTCGAGAAGAATTGAATACGGTTTTCAAACGGCACGTCAAAATACTTTGGACATATTAACTATCGCTTTGGGAATGTATCAAAATAACTGACTTGCTCAGTGTTTTTCTGTATCTACCACGAATTCTTATTTGTAGTCCTGAGTGCACTGTCTGCCCAAAATCCTCCTAAATTGCCCTTTTGGTCATGTGTTCCGTCCAGGGGCGCCGTAAAAAGGGGGTAGTTAGGACAAGTCACAGGCAGGGGCTCTAAAAAACTGGAACATATTTGGATTGGTCTCGGTTGTGAGCCCCGTATGATGCTTTAATGGGTGCCAAAATCTCTAGTGATGGGCCTGCATATAACCAGCAGGTGTACAATTTAATCCTTCTCCTGTAACTAGTCAACATAACGAGTTCCCTGGAAGAAACAAGGTAGCAATGATAGTAATTGTCAGCAAACAGGCAGTATTGGACACGAGTCAGGGGTACACCGTGAATGAGAAGCCATTGCAGTACACGTACTTGCACACACCCCTTGCAATTTAGTGATCACAATTACTCTAACTGCACGTCTTCAAATTGCTGGAAGAACTGCAGCAGACATAAGATCGCCACGGGACACCGGAAAAACATGCAAACTCCCTCCCCCCACATTCACACACACACGCGCACACACACAAAACGGGGGCGGGAGTTGAGCCTACAGCACTGGCGGTGTGAGTCACTGTACCACCCTGGGTTACTTTTATTTACGTGAAATTTATTCATAACCCGAAATCTAAAGTAATTCTGTTGACATCTGCCCAAGATCAGACGCCAGTGAGTTTATCACCAACATCCTCAACTGGACCTTCTGGAGTTCCGTTGCTTAGCAACTGTAAAATGAAGAAGCATTCGCAGTCAGCTTGTAGACAATCATGGGGGGGGGGGGGGTGAACGAAACAAACAACGTAGCGTAACGAACCTTTTATGAAAATATTTTAAACTAAGAAAATAACTCATGTCTAACTCGTGTTTGTTTAATGAACACGAACCTTATTCATCCGGATTTACAAAAAAATATATAATTCGTATGCGATTAAATAGCCGATTAACCATTCACGGCATGAGAAATTAACGTCAGCCATACATTTTAAAGTGTCTGTTTTGCATTTCTGTGAACCGGTGTGCATTGTTTTTTACTACACGGTAAAATTAAAACATGATTTCACAAAACTCACGAGTGATCAACTTTAAATCAACTTTCTCATTGTTCCTAAAGGTTACCGGTGTGGGAGGGGCTGGGACATCTTACTGTGATAGCTTCAGTACTGCGCTTTCAGTTTATTCATCGTAACTAGCCTACTTCCACGCCTCCCGATAATTTGATTATTGTGAAAACGTAAGGGACAGTTCCACTGCCAAGCGACAGCAGGACGTCCCGTTGAATGGAGAAGCAATAATGCATCTGACTGTGGAAAACCATGTGCATTGCCCGATCCTAGTTGCCGTGTGATCGTTGTATAAGGTCAACTTTCCGTAATGTGGGAGGCAGCAATGCGTCTATCCGACTCTACCGTTGGAGCAGCAATCAGCCTGTATGATTGACGCTGTATGTCTGCCTCCATGCACGATGCCTTAGAGGTCGGTGTAATGCCAACGAAATAGCGAAGGCGGTCATAAACAGCAGCAACCAGAGGAGACAAGCATCGATCAAAATTCCCCTATAGCTGGATGCCATTGGTTCTACTTCTGCGTCTTTGAGGACAGAGACGCGTTTAGGCGTAACGACCTTGGAGGACCGCGCCGAAATGTAAGTAGGAAATTGCAATGCGCGAAGGGTTTTGCGTTTGCTACTAGATCTGTGCTTTTACAGCGTGTACGCCGTGTGATTTGTTTTCTTTTTTACATTTGCTTTAGGTATCACGTTGATGTATGAGCACGCTTCATATTGCGGGTAGAAAGGCGAGCCAGAAACCTCCCCAAATGTGATGAGCTTGGCGCTTCATGTGCAAAATTCAAATGACATGCTCGACCGCTGATTCCGATTCGGGATTTTAGGCTACGTATGATGTATCCCAGTTTGTGTAACGGGTTCACAATTTTAGGTGGGAAAAAAATCTGATCAGGTAATACCAGTAAGTCTCTTTTATTCTATAACTAAGGAGTGCTTCAAGGCTACAGGTTATTTCTATTGAACTTAATAACTGAACGAATGAACACCAAATAAAATTTATATTTCAAAATACATCTTTAAAATACAGTTTAACAAGTACTAAAATCCGCGAAGAACATACAAAGAAAATCCCTTCTGAAAACAGCCAACAGATTACTCGTTGGTGTCTGTGCTGTCCGCAGAGTACCAGCTGAGGTGCAGCCTGTCTGTTCATAAAGCAATAGAGATCAACGCTGACAACTTATTTATAACTGAGTAATAATAGAACTGCCTGAACTGACAAGAGATTTAAATGCCGAACAACTTAATGCTAATGTCGGACTTATTTAGATTTATTGTGGAACATCTGCTAACGTCCACTAAGGTCCCTTCCAGCCATTGTGATGTGACCATCCGGTGTATACATTCTATTCTCATATAAAACTTTTGTGATTTCTATTACTCCTGGTGCAGTACGAATATAGTCTAAACTAGTAATCTAATCATAATTTTGCACAGCAATTTTTATTAACGATTATGAGATAATATGAGTGGTTGTTTAAAACTGGCACTTCCTTGACTGGTAGACAAGCATTCATTTCCCTTTTATCATTTGCTATTTTAAAACATGTTATAGTTACTTAATACCCCTATCTTATGTCTTGGCCAGTCCCATATACCTCTCTCTCTCTCTCTCTCTCTCTCTCTCTCTCTCTCTTTGAAACACCCAAGCACACACTAGGCTTCGGACATTGTATGCCACCGTCTGGACGGTCAAAGTATTACAACTGCGTGTGTTTTGCGCTGTTCCACGGTGCAGATCGTGTTGAAAGTTGCGGGTTCTTGCCTTAATGGATCGTTACATGGCTTTCATTGTCACCACAAATCAGAGGTGAGTCCAAAATGTTCAATCATCTCTGGAGTCAATATAGATATTTTCTGTCTTTTGCTGATATGGATATTATTAGTAACTTGAACTGAGTTCGACTTTTTCCCGACATACACCTTATACACGGTTCCATTATATAACTGCAGTTCTCGTGCCCGCTTCTTCCATCTATTAAACCCTTCGATTAACAGTATTTCGTAACCTATATATCGTTTAAGTCTACTTATGTTTCCATCTTAGGTTTTATTCAGTCGAAAAAAACAATCTTTTGCCTCGCGTTTTTTTTTTTTATTTACATTTTGACTATGAAGCTTATCACTGAATAGTAGTGTATTGGGATATTTAGTATGGTGTTTCTGTGATATTACTGCTGTTGGCGCTTTATAATACAGGCAGCATTAATATGCAGTGTTTCTCTTTTGTCATCGGCTTTGCCACCCGCCTACATCCTTAAAAATTCATATAAAATATGTAAACTCTGTTTATGCATTTCATTTCAATATATTGCATACGTGAATTTAAGGCCTATTGTATTTTGTACCTATTGTAGAGAAATGAAGGTGAACGTGTCTTTAGAGAGGTATTTTTTCCCTCACAGTTATGCGGTTTTGTTAAAGCAATCGCACTTTGCCTGCACCCAAATTCAGACGTCAACCGGAGGAAACTGTTAGCCTCCAGCCGTGAGGTGACTCAGACCCACGATTCTTTTGGAGCAGCCCACCAGTTAATACATACCGCGCGTTTCTTGATATGTCTGTTGGGGAAAAAATCGCTTGCGAGTAACTCTTAACAGTGACCCTGGAGGCATGTGCGGACTGCCCAGATTATTCTAGCGTCGGCGGGATGGCGGGGAACAGTTAAGCTTATAACACGGGGAACTGCCTGTATAATAAGCGTTTAAAATACCAACTTGCACTTTACAATTCCGACGTGCTCTAAATTACATTAATCTGTTTCACGTAATTTATTTTATTTGTACAATTTTGTTTTATGTAGCTTACGCGATAGTGAAATAATTAAAGGTATTTTTCTCTTAAACCTATATATTGTTGATTTACGTTATGTAAAAACTCAACGCACTACGCTTTCTGAGGCATTCTGAAATTCACTTATTCGTAAGTACTCTGTAATATTAATGTTAACGCCGAGTTGATTGATTTTATGTAGGTTACTTTCTCAGTTTCTGTTGACGGGTATTTAAAATAAGCCAAATGTTTTCACTGCAACAGCGGTGTTCCTTGACTTGAGTTAGAAGTCGTGTCCATTCGCGACAGCAATTTATAGTCGATACACCTCCATGAATCAGGTTATGCTACCACAGACAGACAGGAATCCCAAAGATACAGTAAAGGGCCGCTGTGACTTGGCTGTAAACGAGTGTGTGTGTGTGTGTGTGTGTTCCACAACAAGAAAGCAGCTCAGCTTGTATTAGTGACCAGTTGCATATAATTACCATAGAAGGCATGGTTTTGATAGAACGGCCATTTTGCCCCTTTATACAGCTCTGGGAAAAATCAAAAGACCACAGCAAAAATTTCAGCTTCTCTGTTTTGTCAGTTTATGGGTAGGCCTATGTGCCTGTGTAATATGTACATATACAAACTCTCTAGCCTGGCTCTTCCCTGCTTCTCATTAACGAAGGGCTTCATCCTCGCTTTATGGGTCTTCAGTCCTGCTTCTATAGGAACCTGATACGAACTGTCCTAGCAGTGCACTTCAGACCCATTCTTTAGAAGGTCACTTGAGGTCATCCTCTGTTTTATGAGGCACTGCCTGATAAGTTGACGGCTGGTCATCTCTGGCATTAGAAAGTCACTTCCAAACTTTACCTGGCCGGTTTCTGGTCATTCCCAATGTCTTATTCCTGTGTGCTGCTGTCTTAGAAACCTTTAGCCTGGAAGCAGCCTGTCTCGCAGTGTAGCTTTCTGCCAGCAGAACCAGCATTAAACCAGGATTTAAAAATGCAGATGTTTTTAAATATAGAGTGGTCTCTTAATTTTTTCCAGAGCTGAATATAGGGCACGTCAATAGGTTGCCCTTTTCTGATCTAATTCGTCCGTGGCCTGGCCCAGCTGTTGACTTAATTCCGTTCTGGTGCTTGTACTGTATCTGTCAGTGAGTCACATAATTAGCCAGAGAGGTTACCATGGCACTAACACGACTCTGCGTGACAGCTGAGCCGCAGGCACTTCTCTGAGCGACGAAATGGTCCCTTGCAGACTAATCTAACATTGCTACTTATCTCTCCTTTCCAGTTGTCTTTCCTTTTGCTTAATTAGCCGGTGCCGTTCACACTTCCGAATTGTTAAAATGAATCCAGGTTCGGCATTGTCTACGGAGCTCCGCGGATTAATGATGACTTTTTTCACAGCCACAGGTTTGATTTTCACATACTGTTCTCCTAGCCATTATGTCATCGTCGCGAAAAGACACATACTTAATGTCTGGTCAACAGGGAAAAGTGACCGTTAACTTTTTTTTTCCTCCCACCCACGCCGGTTTTACACATCCTACATTTGTCCCGTGAAATCCCTGTTCAAACACATACCGCTTTAGTTCGGCTTTTTCTTTTCACAAGCTGGTGAATAATTGATGCGTCACTCCATCAAACGCATACTTACATGCTGTTTTTCCTGTACACTTTCCCTTCCATACTCATAAATTTAAACGTCTACAATAATAATGAAATAAATACACCAGGAAGAGAATTAATTTAAATATAATTTCATTTAAAATAAAAAAAAAATGTAGTGCATTTCATTTTATACACTGCACTGGCATTTAGCCTAACATAATTGCCTTCCGTTGTATAACATCATTGCATATCATATTTCTGAATATCACTGGTCTATTCCAAAACAACTCTTATAATATGTTTTTGAAATCGAGAAACTTGTTTGGGTTCATCTGACGGGTGATATTTGTCCACAGACTGATACTGCCAGTGTAATAATGTTTTTTTTCTGTGGTTAGATCATGATCTGTGGACGGTGGCCTCGCAGCGTGATTCTGGTCATTGCGGGGCTGATATACGGTATCGAAATCACTCTACAATACTCATCACACAGGAATTCACCTACATGGGCAACTGCACCCCGTTTATTCTGTAAGTGGCCACTAGGAGGCGTCCGCCAACAGGTGCATGTTTACAACACGGACGTCATGAATGAAAGTAATTCGTGAATCGAGTCCGATTGTTGTGTTAGTTTCTAAGCAACCGGCGCGCCATTCCGTGGAAGGACACCGATTGTTCCGCCTGAAAGGGCTGGTGGCGGGGGGAAACGGCGCTCCCCATCCCCACAGCTCCCAGTTTGCTTGATTGGTAAATAAGAATGATGCAGCGAAGTTCCGTGACCACTTAATGTAGCCCCTGTCCATCACAGCCTTCGCTGCAGCGCAGTGATTATTCATTTAGTCTGATTTTTAGCTATGCTTCTGTCGTTCCCGCACGTTTTACCAAGTAGTTCTACGGAACGCCTTTTTGTTCTGTTTCTTACGCAGATATTTTAAGGAATTAATGAAGAATGCCGAACCTACTACTTATTCGGCCAAGTACTTGACTCACTGGCCATGCTGTTTGCTCCGGTAACGACTTAAAAATCTAAATCAAGACACATTTTTTACTAACCTAAAGCTCAAGCAGTGGAAAATATACTTCAATCATTAATGAAAAACCCGGTGGTTGTAAATAAGGCACGTGGAAAAAGTAGCGCAGCCGTGAGAACACGTAAAAAATGTAATTATGTAACATGAATTTCGGTGACAAGTG